CCACGTTATGTCTTCTTTTTCTTTTCTCCCATGGTGGATTCAGTTCCCTTCGTTTTGGAATAATGAACGGCGTACAGCTGGAACTTATGATTAGATTAAACTTTTTTTTTTTAAGCGTTTCAACGATATTTGATGAGAAATGATAACATTAATTTGTAAGTTTTTTTTTTGGAAAAGGAAAATATTTAAAATTACCTCAAGAATTTTCGGGACACCTTGTATAATGATTATAATAATCCTATGGAAAAAAGAAATAAAGAAAGATAATAATGCTTTTCTTATATAGAAATGTAATTGTATTTATATAAAAATATCAAAGTTATTGAAATATATAAATTTTAAGAGAAAAAAAATCAAATATCTATATTATTTTCTTATTAAATATATCTATTATTAAATATTATATTAGTATATATTGGTAAATATTAATATTATAGTCATAAATTATATGTAAATGTACATATAATATATTAATTTTTAAATAAATATTATGACTTATATGTTTAAGTATTTATCGAAAAATCTTTCTATACATGTAAACCACTCTTACTCGAATAACGAGGCGATAAATATCGACCCATTACAGTGACAAGAGGTGTTATCGAAAACGTGCGTTTGAGAGCAATAAACTTTGAGGGTAATAAATTTCATTGTAATCCTTGGGTCAAGGTTAAGAGTCCTATATTTTTACCAGCCACTCGATAATTTTTAACTACCGTTATACGAGAGAAACTTCCTGTCTGCAACTCGTGTCTTGAATTTTTTCCAATATTTTGTATAACACAATCTTCGCAGCAACAATTCATTTTAACTACTTAAAATTAAACAATCTCCTCAAGCTTTCCAGTATATCTATATAAACTTTTAAAAATAATCTATACAATTTTCAAAGTAAATATAATAGAGAATAAATGTAATTAATTAATCCATAAGGATTAATTAAATTATCCTTTAGAATAGACATATACAAATACAATGAAATTGAAAAAAAAATGAAAATTAATTTTAATTTCCATCAATGTTTCCCATAAAAATAATTATAACCTATATCTATTAACACTTGTAACCAACAATGTTTTAACCTTGAAAATATTTGTCATTAGATACTCTTAAAAAAAAATCTTATGCAAAATCTTCATTATATTACCCTCCAATTACACATAAATAATCCTGTTCCAAAATCGACTCAACGTTTCTCTCATTTCACAATCGTCGTGTAGCAAAAATGGCCGTGCAACTTTTAATTCGATTACACAGTAAGATGCGTGCTCACGTCTCTGTTGGACGGTGTAAACGGTAAATGGACGGTTCCATAGAAATGGCATAACCACCCCTCTGATACGCAAGAGCTTTCTCGTGTCCTGTGTGTCTCTCGTCACCCCTCGACCAATCTCCTCTGCACACACCAATGTATTTTTCACATGACCACCCTTCTGCGTCCACGATAATATCCCTCGTGGCACGTCCTGCCCACATTTCGTCCAGCTTTGCCATTTTCATCTTCTCTTTCGTTCTCGAGGCGTTCTATTTATCAAACTGGAGAGAAGAAACTGAAAGGTGGACCTTTTGTGCCGGATAAATGGCCAGGATTTGTGTATCGGCCGTTTGGATAAGATGTCCGACTTCTGGGAAAAGAGATTGTTTCATGGTTGTTTGTCGAGTTTCCCTTGTGTAGACGTGTGTTGAATAATCGTGACCAACCATAGATGTTTCCACGAGTGATTTTATCCTGGAAAAATAAAATTTGTTTTATTTCATGTAATGTTACTATTACATTTGATCAATTCTTAAAATATGTAGATCATATTGGATCAAGATCATTATTGTGAATACAAATATCAAGTTACTTTTCATGATTTAATTCTTTTTTTAATTAATTTCTTGTCTTTTCAATATAGAAAATTTGTTTGTATTTTCAAAATACTTATAAAAGAATATACATCTGTTATTTATTCTTATATGTACAATTTATGATAAAGAAATTTAATATTTTAATGAAAATTTAATCATAAAAATTAAGGGATTAAATTAATAAACTTGTTGCAACAATAAAGTTAAAAAATTTACAATTATATGAATTATAGATAGATAATAGAAAGAATTATTGTAAAAGTATTGTATAAATTTATAAATCATGAATCATGTATCTATTACATTTTTATATCTTTCTTTTCTTTTCCCAAATTTATTTTTATTATATTTGAGATTAAATGATTGAAATCCATTTTATCATATCATTCTATCATCTCATTCATTAATAAATTTTGAATGATTATGTTTTGGTTGTTTGGAGAATATTACTACTTCCAAAGTATTTGTCTCTCTCTTACACACTTCCTCTTCCGTTTCAAACGGTGTTCAGCTTGCCATAAACACATCCCTGGAGATTTGACTTCAGTAGACGACACTTCCAGAGAGCATTTTCACGTTTCCTACCTGCAGCCTCGATTTCTATATTTACGTTCACCACGACGAATCAAAATTCACGCCCATGATTGAATTTGCCTACCTGTAAAGGGATCTCTCGTGAATTCTCTGTGTGCATTTTGGATTCTAAATTTCGAGCGAGAAAATTTTTGAAAGAGGATTTCCTTAATTTAAAAATCGCTGCTATTTCCATAATTTTGATCGGAGAGATTTAAATTTCTGGAAAAGAATTTTTAATTAAAATCAGAAAAATACTTGTGAAAAAAATTGAAGAAAATTTCTGAAAGAAACAGTATGAATATATTTATCAATAACGATTCTTTTATATTTATTTCACATTTAAGAAATAAATGAATCTTAAGGAAATACAATTGAGAAATCGTTATTTTAGCTGCTTTGGTTGAAAAGCAGCGTTTGTGTTTAAAATTGAATTGAAAAAATTTTTAAAAAAGGATTTTCTTTCTTACTTGAATCATCGTTATTTTATATAATTGTTTTAATCAAAAATTATTCATATTATATTTCAACGAAGAAAATTTTACGAAATTTTTATATATATAATTATATTTGTTCATGTTAGCTCACGTATTAATAAAAAAAAAAAAGAAAAATGAAGAAAATTTTTAAAAGAAATTTTTCTTTCAGAAATAGCGTCAAAATGGCGGTCGTATAGGCTCTATTTAAGAACGGAAGCAAATTTTTGAAAATGTCGGGCTAAGCGGTACCCTATTATAGGTCCCGTTTAATGGTTGTACAAGATATCGAACTTTATACCTGGCGCGATATAAACTACAAAAACCTATAAAATCGAAATATATCTACTTACAAGGTCGATAAGCATTCCCTTTCTTTCTGTTCCAGGCTGATGTTTTTCTTTGTAAACTTGTAAATAAAAGGCCTCAAAGTGTACGGCGCCGTGGAGAAAACGTTTCACCCGTTCGAGCTGTGCAGCAGGTCAGTTAATTTAAATTAAAATTAAATTCGAATTGATATAATTTAGAAATATATATATATATATAGAATTTTGAAATTTTTACTTTGAAAAAAACAATACAAAATATTTAAAAATTTTATTTTTATCTATATTATTATATATAACATTTCGCATTTATCGAATCTTTTACTCGACCTAAAGTTCTAAAATTTAGAGACACGTGTACGATTTAACTGAATTAACAACAATCTCACCTTCTCATAAAACTACAAGATTATTGAGGTGTAGGTACTGTTTTCGCAATTTGTGGTAAGAAAACGATGCGGACAATGCGTCTAAGACGAAAATGGCGTGGGAGTTGCGTTATGTGGCAATCGATACATGCGACAAGACGTTTATGAAACCCTTTCGATGCGACATATCACTGTTTCACTGTATTCGCTAATGTTTCAGGCTTTCCCGCGTGTTCCAGCCGGGAACACTGGCCGGTATACAAGGTGAGTTGCGCACGAGCCCATTTCTGCATTTTCTTTGGCTTATCGTCGCAAATCAGTGTCTCTCAACCTTTTTGAAATATTGCGAATTCCTTTTCGGAATGTTCAAATAATGAATAACATGTTACAAATATTCTTTTTCATATAAGGTAAGAAAAACTTTGATTTTTTTTATTCCACCGAATGATTTTTCGATATTCTTTGAATTTTCTTTCGAAATATTCAAATAATTTAGAACCTTTCTTTTTCATAGAAGATAAATGTTAAAATTAGCTGTTTTGATACTATTAGTTAAGTAAAATATTGCAATGTAATTACATTAAAATAAACAAATTTCAAAATTCACAGGTTGGGAATCACTGATTTAAATAAAATCATTATCACGCCCACGATGCCCACATTCTACAAACATTTCTATTCCACAAAGTATCGATCTTTGAAATTTATTTTATTATACATGTAAACGAGTGTTACACTTGGAAAATGTCTACGAACAACGACACTTGGCAATCAACTATTTTTATCAACCGATTCGCAATACACCTCAAAATACAAACAGCATTGCAAATGGAAAACAGTTATCTATAAAAAAAATGAAGAACAAGAGGAAGATACATCATCCATTGTTAAAATGATCCCGATAGATGTCTCTTTGAGACAAGACGAGTTAATTCGTGTGTCATGGCCGACCTCGAAATGTCGAGCTAAAAAGTCGGGACGATAACGTACTTGCCGTAAACAGAGGATTGTATACAACTGCGTCGCACTAAACCCATAGCCACTAAACCGCGCATACTACCTATAAATGGGCGAGGTTGCTATAAAGCCCATTCATGATCGCGTCTCCTGTACAACAAACGTCAGGTGGTTCACGCCTCCCCCGCGATTTATCGCACACTCTTGTTCAAACGAGAGTCTCGTGCTTCGTATTTCCCAACCACGATGAGACAAGACTTAAATGATAACAGATGTAGATATGTAGACAGTAGATTGGTATTTTTTTCAATAAGATTTAATGTAGTGAAAATTGAGAGGTTAGATACTTAATTATATCATTGTCATACCGATTTTGTAAAAAAATGAGATTTTAAAATGAGATTTTCTCATTTTGATTGAGATATTTCATATGATTTTGAATAGCATTGTGAAATCGAATTCTTATAAAATATTCTTTTTATTTTTTAATAATGTATCATGAACATATTAGTATAAGTATGATTATTAAAAGAATTTTAATTATTTGATTATATTGATAATGATCTTTTATGTAAAATCATAATCTTTTATGTAGAATAGCATTATATTCAATATTTATATTTAATATAACAATTGATGTTTTATTAATGTATATATCAGACTTATTATTAGCTAATTGAAATTTTATATTATGTATTTTACATTTTTAAAATTAGAATAGCATGTATCTATCTACTATGTGAAAATCAAAAAATAGAAAAAACCAGAAATTATTAATTTTCTTGTTCTTTAGTAAATATTAGAATGAAATAAATATTGCACATCTTTTAAAAATAAGTGTAAAATATTTAAATTATTCATTATATATTCAGCTATATGTTTCTCTGTAAATAGATTTTCAATTATAAATTAAAGTTTAAAAATTAAATTCAAAAATATTGCAAATAATACATATATTTTGATATAATAAATTTGTTAGTAAATCTATTCATAATCAATTGAAACAATTTTCTTAAATATTAAACTTAAAATTAGACTGAATAATAAATACTAACCGATATAATAAATTTATTCTGATATAATAAATTTCTAAAAGTCAAGTTTTCAAATTTGAATAATACTAGATAATAATAATAGATAAACTTTAATATAATAAATTTGTCAATAGATTTAATAATCAACTTCATATGAAACATTTATGAAATAATTTCATAAAACTAACTGAATAAAATTAAAAATTAAAATTAGATTGAATAATATAAATCAGTTTAAATATAATAAATGTTGATAGATTCAAGAAACAAATAAAATAGTTTTAATAAAAATTAATTGAAAAATAGATTAATAGAAAATTAATACAGATTAACTCTGACAATAAATTTGTTAATAGAATTAATAGCCAATTAAAATAAGAATCAAGTTCAAAAGTAAAACTAAAAATATAGATCATCTTTGATAGAAGATTCAAAAATCAATCTTAAAAATAGTTTGAATAATATAAATCAATTGTGACAACAAATTTGTTGATAACCTATAAAAATAATTTCCTAAAAATATAATCTGAATAAAAATTCTTTAACATAATAAATTTACTAATCAATTATTTAATAATTTCGTAAAAATCAAGTACAAAATCAAACTGAATAATACAAACCTTTGATATAATAGATTTGCTAGCAGTCAATTGAGACAATTTCGTAATTTCCTAGTCAATTAATTGACACATGGTCTCGCGCGTGGCGCGCTCTAGTGGCGCGAGAGTTTGATGGACAGATGGAACGCGTATGTGCCACCGGAGTTGTTGTCAGACCGTTTTACTTTACTGCCCCATAAAAGTACCGAGATTTAGACTGCAATACTGCCGTGACGTATTGTCGGCACTCGTCCGCGCGTGCACATGCATGCTACGCGCCATCGTGTACGTGGATTCACGCACCGGCATGAGATTGTGGCAGTCGCGAGACATCATCCATTCCTCCTTTTGCGCGTGACGTCACTCGTGTAAAATACGTAGCAAGAGAACGGTCGAGGACTCAAGTCGTTTGTTCGCGGCCGACTCCTTGAATCAGTTCGCAGTATAGTCGTGTCAATGGAAATGTGCCTCGAATGGATAATGTGGCTATTAGGACGATTGCTTTCACTGTATGTTGAATTGTTTCGGTGTTTGATGGCTATGAGCCCTTTATGGCCTTCGATTCAACGTTATTTTCATTTTCTCGAGTCTTACTACAATGTTAACATTTCTTGTTTTATTTTTAAACATATTGGAATAATAAACAGATTTACAAGAATTATTGAATTGTCACGATTTAAAATTATTGAAATAAGAAATTTATTGGAACATAGAATTTTCTATTTTAGATCAGTTTATATTTTATTATTATAATACTGCATATATCGTTCAAAGAAAAATTTGTCTAAAAGAGGTTAGTATTTGATATTGTACGTTTAAGAATAAAATCTAAACTATATAAGTACGAGGCATCTATTGACTATCTTTAATAATAATTGAATAATTAGAATATTTTCAACAATTAGCCGATGTTCAACTAAACACAAAAAATTTAACAACGATAAAGATTGATCGTTACTTCACAAGATAATAAGTATTGTAAAAAAACGTAGTATTCGAATTTACGAATTGATAAAATCGTAAAATAATATTTTTTTCTCATTGCTTCTTAAAATATTATTAAAAAAAATCGAGAAAAATAAAATTCATTATATCAACAGGCATCTAAAATATACGTACGCGAAATATTGTAATGGCGCGAAAACTTACATAGGCAAGGGATTTATCATAAGCAAGGAAAAAGAATATAACAGTCGAAGAAATCTGCAGTTCGTCAATCAGATCAGAATTCGGGAACAGTCATTTTTCTTTTATTTTTTTCTAGCCGAATCAAGAAAAATGTTAGAAGTTTGAGACGCGGCATGTTGACGAGCCCTCGGCGCGCGATATTCAGGCTTTCGTGTGTATATGCGTGTATATATCCGTATTTCGTTGTGTCGCTGGTTCACGCGCGACGAAGAGAAGGGAGAAAGATAGATTAGAGGTTGATAGGCGAGGGTAGGAAAGGGGTACGGGGTATAACGGCGCGGCAGCGCGCGAAGTGGAAGGGGGAAGAGGGAGACGTGTCCGTCCAGAGTTTGGTTGTCAAACGATCCGATAGATCGCGCTCGCGTCGCAGTTTAGCCCGTTTGCGCGTCGAGCCGCGGGCAGAGCTCTCAGTTGACGCTCAGTTCGGCTCAGCGAGGCCAGAGAGAAGAAAGGGAGTCTTTTCGTGTGTGTAAACACCGCGCGTGTGTGTTCGCACCAGTCACAGTTCCATGGGGACCGTGCAGCTGAGGAATCTATAACCTGCGTGCTCTCCGTTATATCCGAATCCAGGAGTCTACTACCTGACTTTCCGAGACAGAAAGGAAAAAAAAAGTGACAAAAGAAATAGCATTCGGTCCGACCACGAACACTCCGTTTCTCCTGACTGTGGCGATCCTTGACGCGAATTTGTCTATTGAAGTTTCTTCGATTCGAATCACACGTCTGTCTAGTCTAATACGGGCAGATTGAAACGAAGAAATATTTGTTAGGAGGAATAAGGTGAAATAAGATAGAAAAAAAAAGTGACTGGTGAGGAAGAAGTGCGCGCTCGAGTTGACGTGTGTGCATTCGAAGTAATGAGCAAGGTGACAGTTTCCTTTGAGGAGACGACATGCAGCTCGAGCATGGCCTGGATCGGGACGACGATAACAAGATTGGTCGAGCAGTGAGAGAGACGTGCTCGTACCATTGTTTGACGTGCTCATCGATTCACTTTTCGTGGAAATTACGATTGCCAAGTGTCTTTTTGACATGTTCCAAGAGTGTACTATTTGTTGATCGTTTCGAGCATTCATTGTTGCCGGTGACGTTCGACGATCGCCAAGTTCCGTCGAACGCGCGAAACGACATCGACCGATCCGAATAATAGAATAAAAACTGTTGTTTCACATCCATTACGAATATATCTATTACGAATAGTTAACCCAACAATTCTTTACAATCAGATATCTGTCAACGTACATTTTTAAAGAAGTGCTGTGTCAATTTTTTTGTTTTCGTTCATTCCAACATCGCGCTTCTCGCATCGTATCTTAATTACCGGTCACCGTCATTGCTGTTCGACCACCTGGATTGCCTGGACATCATCATTGGGATTCCATTGACGGTGTGACTGGATTCTCATCGACGACGTGTTCGCACGTGGTTACTTGTCGCCCATCAACCTCAATCGCAACCTCGGTCGTCGTCTCGGACGCGTTGTCGCGGTGGTGGTGGTGGTGTTGGTGCATGGACCTCTTCTCGACGGATTTGCTACGCATTTTATCGCGCCCCTGGGCGTCTTCGTCTCCCTCTCTGTCTATTCCTGGTCTCGCTCTATAACGTATTTCCATCCTTCTCCTTCAATATTCCGTTTGCTCTCTCTCTCTCTCTCTCTCTCTCTCTCTCTCTCTCTCTCTCTCTCTC